CAGAGCATGTGGTTGGCACCCTAACCACTAAGCTACAGGTACCCCAGAAGTAAACAGTTTTTAAGTTTTTTAAGTTTTAAATTGCACCCACCGTTCTATGTAGTGTGCTGAAATCTTGCTCCATCCTGCCTGGGACATTATAATCATCCCTTTATCCAGCATATCCATGCTGTGTACACTACCCACCTGTTAGTCACTAAGATTGAGAAGACACAGTAATATACATAGGGTTAGGAACTCTCTGCAGTTCCAGGAGTCCACTGAGGGTCTTGGAACACAGGCAATATATTTTACTTCAGTGTGGTAAGTGTAATGTCTCGGCAGAGTGAGCTGGGACCTCTGGGAGAGGAACGTGTCATGTCCTGAGGGGAGGTGTCCAGAAAGGATTTACAGTGGAGGATGTTGGAGTTGAGCTCAGAAGGATAAATATTCAAATGTGAGTGGCATTTTAACCATCCCACCTCCGAAGCCACAGCTCATCGTTTTAGGAACTGTGACCTGACATCGTGTCTTTAGCTTTCCTCTTAGACCAATGTAAAAAATGCTGTGTATGAAATAGCTGCATTTTTTTGTGTTCCTGTATTTGTAACAACTCGTGGGACAGACTCTGTTTAGAGTGAGAAGTTCGTCCTGTCTCCTAATGATCCACTATGCTTTATTTTATTAGTGAGAACTTAAAACCCTGTTGTACTTCAATTCGCTTGGTTGCCAGGAATCTTCATACTGACATTTGAGTTTAAATCAGAAATGTATTCTATAGCCAAACCTTTTCTTTTACTTCTTTCCATTCCCCAAATCACTTCAGGAATTTTGCCTTGGACTTTTGATTGTTGCTTAAATGGGTTAGGGTTTCATTATAGTAACAGAAGTCCTTTAAATCCACTTGGAAGTAGGTAAACATAAATTGCCATGGTAATGGAAGGATGAACACAACATCACTTGTTAGCATTCCACACTCTCCAGGATATTTCCAGGGAGCTGGGGACAGATGCTAGCTTTTGGATATTTGGGATATTGTTGCCAGTTTCCTCCTATGGCCACCTGAGCATTTGAAATGAGTTTGGGGTTCTCTCTGTGGTAGAAAATGCTAGCTAATGACACTCCAGGCAAGTATGGGGGCTCCCTTGCTGTTGAATCACTAGGGAATAAGCCATTTACTCTGGTCCACATGTAGTCTGGAACTGATGATTCAAAACCATAAATTGTTAAAACTGGAAGGGACCGGGTATCACTTGGCCCACATTCGATAGACCAAAATTGGTTAAGGGATCCTTTTGAGGTCTCATAGCTAGCCAGTGGCTCTAATTTTAGTGTGTCTATGTATTATTCTAAAGATTCTTAGAGCTTTTGAACTCATTAGGCTTAGATTTTGCAAAGAACCTTTGATAGGTGTGTGATCTCGGGCAAATCAGTCAGACTTAGTGAACCTAGTTACCCATTGGTAAACTGTGATAATGTATTTCCTACTTGTTTCCCAGGATTACTTAATAGCATCCCAGACACAAGCCATATGCATGTATGCCCATCTTTTTCTCCCTATTTCAAAGGAAGACAAAGACATGACTCTTTTGGGTGGGGGCTGATCTCCACGTGTGCATTTCATCCCAGCTCTTTTTATTTATTTATTTATATATTTTTGCAGTTTTTGGCTGGGGCTAGGTTTGACCCCGTCACCTCCAGCATATGGGGCCAGCACCCTACTCCTTTGAGCCACAGGCGCCACCCTTCATCCCAGCTCTTATGAAACTTGCTCAACTATCAACTCTGTTCATTGGCCCATTTTTTTTTTTTTTTTTTGTAGTGCTTTTGTTCTCCCCTGGATCTTTGTGGAGTTCCTCTTCATGAATCACCTTTTTCCTTACTCAACTGCTAGCTCTCTTTCAGGTTTTGACTTTATCTGGTAGTCTTCTCTTGACTGCCCAAAATACCTCTCCTTTTTTCCTTAGTGTTCTTCAGAGCGCTGGATGGTGTAAACATCTAGCAAGAGTTCAGAAGAGACAGCATTAGGATTGGGAGGGCTTCCATAGTTAATTCTGCTGTTTCTTTGATCTGGATTCACGGTTACATTGATAATGGGTCTGAAGCCAGGACCTTGGTTTGGATAGAGAAAATATTGTGAGAAACACTTCTGCCATATTCTAAATATTCTTTCCCTCCTTAGGAGACCCAAAGGGAACCACTGCATCATAACAATAACTTATGCTCATGAAGATGATTTGAATTCTGTTCTGTGACTATTTTCCTGGCAGGCAGGAAAAATGCTTGGAAAATAATTCAGTGAAGTTTAGATATATTTTCATCAGAATGATTAAAACAAGTTAAGCTTATGTGGATAAATTCAAGAATCTGGAAAAAAATCACTGAGACAATCTTCATTCTTGAAAGATAATCACTAACTGTAGTACTTTGCCAACAGACTTTTTGCAGTGTTGTCTGCCACCTGACATTTTTGTCTAGAACTGGAGTGTACCATTCTAGGTTGTTCTTCTGGTGAGGAGTACAAATGAAACCTTTTCTTTGGGAAAAGCTGGGCAGGCCTGGCATTGAATCCTGTTTTCATCACTTAAGTATTGAGATCTTGGGCAAGTTCTGAATTTTCCTGAGCCAGTTTTACCACCTGTAAAATAGTCATATTATCATTTGATCTGAGGATTTTTAAGATGGTAAGATAAATGAAAACCCTTGGTGTTGTATTTTACCATTAGTTCTTTTTCCCCCTACTTTGATCCTGGTGGGCAACCTGCTGTGTGCCATTTGTAAATGAGTGTGCCATTTTCTTGGCTACCTCTCACCTGAACCTCCTTATTGGCTTGCTGGGAGAGATGTTGTGAGGGATGTAGATCTTCCTAAATGTTTGCAAATCCATAAGGTTGTAGAGAAGCAGATGTTCTTGCTTGATAGAACATAGAAGAGCACAGCTGAAACTTTTTCACAAAGCAACAACAGTAGGGTTCCCCTAAGTAGATTTTGTCCTTATACACATTTTGTTACACACATATACACAGACACACGTACACATGTGTGGGAGTAAGTTCAGGTTGGTAAGTGACTTGTCTGTCCCTGGGTCTCTTCCGTAACAAATGGTCCTAATTTCAGGCTTCTGTGTGCCCTGTGGGTTTCTCTAGCTGAGGTGGTGATTAAGATCTGTTCTGAGTCCTCTAAGTTTAGTAGGATGTGGTTGGAGTTTATAGTTTCTTTTGTCCTGTGACTTTTTTTTTTTTTTTTGTAGAGACAGAGTCTCACTTTATTGCCCTCTGTAGAGTCACACAGCTCACAGCAACCTCCAGCTCCTGGCTTAAGCGATACTCTTGCCTCAACCTCCCAAGTAGCTGAGAATACAGGCACCCACCACAACTCCCAGCTATTTTTTGTTGCACTTCGGCCAGGGCTGGGTTTGAACCCACCACCCTCGGTATATGGAGCTGGCACCCTACCAGCTGAGCCACAGGCACTGCCCCTAATATATATATATATACACACACACACATATATATGTATATGTGTGTATATATATATATTTTTTTTTGCAGTTTTTGGCCGGGGCTGGGTTTGAACCCGCCACCTCCAGCATATGGGGCCAGTGCCCTACTCCTTTGAGCCACAGGCACTGCCCCGTCCTGTGACATTTTTGAAATGGAGTGGCAGTGGTTTGGAGAGTTGTGGTTTGGTCCTCGGTTAGATCAGGCACACCCAGTTTAATACTTGGTTTTCCTACTATTTCCTTCTGAGCTTTGCCCTTTGGATTCTAATCTTTAAAAGCAGACAGTTTGGAAATGGGAATTCATTTGCTGCTCTGATTGTTTCTATGTTCTTCTCTGAGGTCTTATTTATTGGCTGCCCAGTTCCACATCCTGCTGTGCTCAGACCTCATCAGAACAGTCTTTAAGACTACTGATTCATTGAAGGCTCAGCTTTGACTTTTCAACTACTTGGCATTCTCATAGTGTTTCCTAATCAACCTGTTGTATTTAACTTCTTAGTTCCTACACTGGAAACTACTTATGACCAGTGACTTGGATTTAGGAATTCCTAGTTTCAAACTTGTTATATGGCTTTTAGCCATATAACTGAAGCAAGAGGATTGCTTGAGCCCAAGAGAGAGAGGTTGCTGTGAGCTATGATGCCATGGCACTCTACCCACAGCAAAAGCTTGAGATTCTATCTCAAAATAAAAAAATAAAAATAAATAAAACATTCTGTGGTATTGGTTGGGATGGAGATGAGAGTGACAGGAAAACTCAGGGGATGGTAGGACCCCAGGCATCTCATTTAATAATTCTTTTTTCTTATACATATATCTAGGTGTTTCAGTGTTAATAGGAAAGACCACTGCATTGATGGTCTTTGAGATTACTTCCTAGTCTTGGCATTCTATGAGCCTTCTAATAGTATCTCTCTTTTTAGATTAGACAAGGGCACCTAATACTGGTCCAAACTTATCAGCATACTCTACAATTAGGGTTGTGGAACCTGCAGCCTATGGGCTGCATGCAGATTGAGGACTGTTTTGCTTATCTGTGGTGTCAGATATCAAGAAAAGTATGCACAGACCTTTTTTCTTTTTTGTTCATCAACTTTCATTAGTGTTTCTATTGTAATGTGCGGCCAAAGACAACTCATACTCTTTGAATGTGTGGCAGAAAAGAAAAAAGGTTGTATCTAGTCTCGTTCCTGATCATTTTTACCAAAGCTCTGGCCTGGCCATCCCATCCCAGTGCTATCCTTCCCCTTCTGCTCGTATTATTCTTAGCAACACATCAATTATTTGTAAGCCTCCCTTCCCTATTCAGACCTACTCAAGTCTTCCAAGACTTCAGTGTAAATGTCCTGTGCCTTTAAGAAACCTGCCCCAGTTGGCCATTTTTTCCCCACCGTAGGTTTTCTACTCTTAAGGCTCAGCACACTTTTGTAAGCCACCTCAGTACCTAGAATTGGTAGTACTGTTATGAAAGTGACATGGGTCCAAATTACATGGTTTAGAAATTCTTTTTCTCTTTCAGGATCGAATCATCAATTTAGTTGTTGGCAGCTTAACATCTTTATTGATTCTAGTAAGTATTTTTATATTGTGCCTCAGGCTCTGAGCCAAAGTTTGAAAAGTTTGGTACTGTTATTAATTCTCAAAAGAAAATACTTAAATTGGGCAAGGACATGAGTATGTGATGTGTTAAATCATTTTCAGTTTTATTACCACAAATCTGCATTTGGCAACTTGAGTAGCTAATTTGATTTTCACACCCAAACACTACTTGAATATGTGAAATAATGCAAGTCAGATGACCTGGTTTTTAGAATTGGAGTTTGCCATGTTTTCTTGCTTGTAAGGTAAGAAATAACAGTGGATACCAGTAACTTCTTTCAGTTATAACCCACCCTAACTTCTCATTTCTGGTAATACCTTAAATTCTTTTTTTTTAAAGACAGTTTCATTGTGTCACTCTTGGTAGAGTGCTGAGGCATTATAGGTCACAGCAACTTCAAACTCCTGGGCTCAAGTGATTCCTGCCTCAGCCTCCCAAGCAATTGGGACTACAGGTGCTCACCACAATGCCTGGATATTTTCAGAGTTGTGGTCTCACTCTTGCTCAGGCTGGTCTCAAACTCCTGAGTTCAAGTGATCCACCTCCCTCAGCCTCTCAGAATATCAGGATTACAGGTGTGAACATCAAGCCTAGGTCCCTTAAATTCATTTTGTTCCTAAAGAATATCCATTATATTTTTTGATCAAATTAAAAAAGATCTGGCCAGTGTATGGCGATTTTTATCCTATATAATAGTTACTATAGCTGTGTTTTCTACAGTCTGATAGTAACATTTGTCTATAATACATTATCATTAGAGTTTGTTCCATGGCTGCTTAATAAAAAATGATGTGTAATTTTTATCTGTGCAGAACTGTATGGTACTAGAAACACATTTTTTAGTATTTTTCATAATTTTTTTATTTTAGCCTTTTTTTTTGGACCAGGGCCGGGTTTGAACCCACCACTTCCAGTATATGGGGCTGGTGCCCTACTCCTTGAGCCACAGGCAACACCCTATTTTTCATAATATTTAAAGCAAAGCCAGCTTTGCTTATTATTCATTTTGGCAGAAGTATTAAAATGGCTAGAAATTCTTCTAGTATAGGGCTGGGCATGGTGGCTCATGCCGGTCATTCTAGCCGTTTGGGAGGTGGAAGCAGGAGGATCACCTCAGCCCAGGTTGCAGTGGGCTGTGATGATGCGTTGCACTCTGGCTTGAGTGACAGAGCAAGAGCCTGTCCCCCACACCAAAAGAACCCCCACACCAAAACCCTTTTCCATTATAATCTTTTCTTTCTTCTGGGAATGAGGCTTTGAATGATTTTTAATTAGGATTTTGGGGGAGATTTGCTAGTTTTACTGATACTTTGTCTTCTTTCATAAAATGAGGGAAAAGTTAGAAGAGAACATACTAAAAATAGCAATAAAAATTTAATAAAATAGTTGTAAATATGTTTAACATTCCAGAAAACAGACCTGGTGATAGATATAATTATGTAATATGAACCATTTTGTAGTATTACATTGCCTTGATTGTAGCCTAACCAAGTCTTGGAATTACTCTTAAGTCCTTACCCAATTTCTCTCTGTACAGGTAACGCTGATCAGTGCTTTTGTTTTCCCTCAAGTACCTCCAAAACCGTTGAATATATTTTTTGCTGTCTGCATCTCTTTGAGTAGTATTACTGCCTGCATACTTGTGAGTACTGTTTAGAATTTAAGTGTGGTGTTCTTGAAGGCTTAATGTTAAGTGCTTAGGACGGTTTTGCTGGGTCTGTATTAATTACACCCCCACCCCACCCAAAAGGATGTCAGAATTTTCAGTATTGTACATTTTTTTAAAAAGTTTTTTCTCCTCAAAACTAAAATTGTAACCTTAAGGGGCAACACTGTCTTCATGCAAGTTACTGTTCTTAGGGGCAGAGATAGAACACTCTGGATTT